TGATAACAGTACCCCAGGTATGTGCAAAACAAAAGTCAACATACAATTATTGACAAACACAAAATAAATATTCGTTCCCAAACGACCAGTTCCTTCCGCAGCAAGAATGGAAATTGAAACAGAACTCCTCAGATTAGAAAACGCAGGAATATTCACACCGGTAGATTCATCGAGGTACACAGCGCCGATAATGGTCAGCAAACGTAATGGAAAAATTCGAATATGTGCAGACTATTCAACAGGACTAAACTCAATAGTAGAACCTAATCAGTATCCATTACCAACACCGGAAGAAATCATGTCTGATTGCCACAACTGTGTAATCTTTAGTCACTTAGATCTCTCAGACGCATATTTACAAGCCGAAGTTGATGACGAAAGTAAAGAGCTTCTCACCATCAATACACACAAAGGTCTGTATAAGTTCAACCGTCTAACCCCAGGTATAAAATTAGCTCCGGGAGCATTTCAAAGGATCATGGATAAGCTATGCGCAGGCATAGAAGGAGCAAAAGCATATATAGACGACATCATGTTATCAAGTCCATCTATTCCGGAACATAAATCCAATTTAAACAAGCTTTTACAAAGAATTCAAGATCACGGATTCAAGCTGAAATTTGAAAAATGCCAATTCTTTCAAAAAACAAATCAAATATCTAGGACACATAATAAGCAAAGATGGAATCAAACCTGACCCAATCAAAATAGCAGCCGTTCAAAATCTTAAAACGCCAGAAAACGTCTCGGAAGTAAGATCGTTATTAGGCTCTATTAATCATTACGGGAAATTTGTAAACAACATGAGAACACTACGTAAACCTCTTGACGATCTACTAAAAAAGGACGCCAAGTTCGAGTGGACGTCACAGTGTCAAAAATCATTAAACGACTTTAAGAGCATCTTGACATCAGATCTTCTTTTAACGCATTACAATCCAAACTTGCCCATACATGTAGCAGCCGATGCATCATCTCACGGAATCGGCGCGGTTATCTATCATATGTTTCCAGACAACACTATGAAGGCAATACATCATATTTCCAGCAAATCGTTTACAACGATGAGCCCTTATATTACTGGCTTACAACTTCGAAATTAAATACACAAACACAAAGAACTTTGGTCACGCTGATGTATTATCAAGATTAGTCAACAATCACGAAAAACCCCCAGATGACTTTATAGTGGCTTCAATATCATTCGAAGAAGACATACGTAACGAGATAAATGAAACTATGTCAGTTCTCCCAGTATCATTTAAAATGATCGTCGATGCAACAACAAAATACACGGATTTACAAATGGTCCTCAAATACATTCAAACAGAATGGCCAGAAAGCAAGAAAAATGTTAACCCATCAATAATTCAATTTTTCAACCGCAAGGAAAATCTTTCAACGTTCGATGGTTGCATTCTTTTCAATAATCGTATAGTAATTCCTAAATCATATCAGAGACAAATCTTACAACAACTTCACAGACGACACTTATCAGCAGAACGCAGCAAAGCCATCGCCAGAAGTTATGTTTATTGGCCAAACATCGACAAACAAATTGAAGACTTTGTTTGGAATTGCAAAAATCGTCAACATGCGGCAAAAAGTCCAGTAAAAACAAATCTTTGCCCATGGCCATTAACTTCACACCCTCTTGAAAGGATACATATAGACTATGCTGGTCCAGAAAAAGGTAAATATTATCTTCTTATCATCGACTCGTATTCAAAATATCCTGTTATCTACGAGACTACAATGACAACCACATATGCAACATTAAAAATGTTAAACGAATATTGTGCACTCTTCGGAAATCCTGAACAATTAGTCTCGGACAACGGAACACAGTTTTGTTCAGAACAATTTGGGAAGTGGTGCAGCAAAAAAGTCATTAAACACACAAGGACTGTTCGTTTTCATCCAAGTTCAAATGGTCAAGCCGAGCGTTTCGTTGATACACTTAAACGTGCATTAAAAAAACTCGAAGGAGACGAAACGCCTACGGAATCTCTCCAAACCTTCCTAGAAGTCTACAGATCCACACCAAATCCCAATTCACCAGAAGGTAAGTCTCCAGCAGAATCTTTCATCGGAAGAACAATGAGTACGGTCTTCGACGTTCTAAGGAAACGACAATCGCCTGAGTATAACGTCAATCTCAAAATGGAACAGCAGTACAATACCAAACACGGTACCAAAAACAGAGAGTTTAGCAACGGAGAATTGGTCTATGCAAGAAACTTCAAAGGAAACAAAGGTTACTGGACAACAGGCGAAATAGTCGAGCGTAAAGGGAAAGTCATTTACAACACTCTAATCGACGTTGGGGACAGAAAAATTCTAGTACGAGCTCATACTGATCAACTTCGACATAGAGAATCGGTAGAGTCAAGCAGTCAAGAACGACAAAAACTACCATTGGACGTACTACTTGAAGAATTCGAAATCGCTTTGCCTAACCATCAAGAACATTTTGCAACTTCAACAGGTTCACCAAACGGGACACCTCAAAGAATAACAAGTCGCAGACAACCAGTCGAACCTATTTCAAAATCACCTTCTCATCTTAAGGAGGGAGACGTTGTGGCAACCCACATTTATAATATGGCATCTCATGTTGCAACATCCTATACGGCAACGCTCATATAATAGGACGCCGTGCTACCGCCATTTCAGCTTGCTCAGTCTTGTTCTGTCTGTCACTCGAGTCTGACTCACTACATTGTAACTTCTTCTTTTTTTAAATTAGTAGCTGTGAACGCTCATCATCCAATAAATCTTTACACCTTTAGTATTAACAAACATTGGCTTTTATTTCAAACCATAAAAGCACAACATTAACTATAGATCTATCTCGCTTCCTTCTCCATGTTACAAACAAATGCACAATGACTTAATACCCTTACCACTATGTGGTGTAGGTTATAAAAAAGCTTCGCTTGGATCATGCTCAAGTTTTTAAAAAATCATCTTCTTTTCGCTGTACTTTTCAAGTATTAGCCAGTTAAAAAGTTCGGTGCGGCCGAACTTTGAATTTTCAAAAAAAAGTTAAAAATTCTGTTAAATTCTTAAAAATACCGAATATAGCCGTTATATTGGGGTCTCTACGACGTAAATCTACATAGGCTTTGTTTGTCATAAGCCATTACCATATTCGAAACTTGAAATAAACGGTGAGTAATATAGGTAAAATCATCAAAATACCGTATATTGTGAGGTACCGTTATATCGGAGCTATACGAAGACGTGGACCTACATAGACAATTTTCTGTCACAGGCTGTAGTATCCATTTCGAATTTCAAATACCAATGTTGAAACAATTCCGGGGAATAACTTCGCTAAAATCGTCAAAATACCGAATATCCGGAAGTACCGTTATATGGGGACTATATGAAAACGTGGACCTATATGGCCCATTTTCAATACCAAGAGTCCTGCGGGTATAATATACATTTCAGTAAAATTTTATCAATCTACTTTAATTCGTTCCATTTACGAACTGGCCTATTGGCAAAATAAACATGTGTGCAAAATTTTAGCCTTCTATCTCAATTCTTTCGAAAGATAACGTGATTACACCGACATCGCTAAATCGACTTAGAAATTTTACGCTGATCACGAATATATGTACTTTGTTGGGTCTGACTTGAGTATTTCGAGGAGTTACAAACGGAATGACGAAGTTAATATACCCTCCATAGTATGGTGGAGGGTATAAAAAGCGTATAGATTTTTTTAGTTAAGTAAAAATCACGTATCCAAAATAAAATCCAGCACACGTTTTTTTTCGAAAATATTTTATGCAGTTATTGTAAATTATAAACCGTTATAATACATACGACACAAAACATCCTAGTGGAAGAGGTGGAAGATGTTGCGGCCGCAACATGGAAAATATGAAACTGACCACATACAGTTGCACTATTTTAAACGAATACAGTTATAGTTTCTGTACTGCTATACTGTCCTTCAAGATTTGAGCCACATTTTCCAATCGTATTGTCTGTGTGTGTGGATTTTCAAATCATCAAATCAAATCATGTGGGTAAAATCATAAAAATACCGATTATCGGGGGGTACCGTTATATGGGGGATATACGATATCGTGGACCTGTGTAGACAATTCTCTCTCAGGGGGTGAAGTACTCACAAGGAGCTACTTGTGTGGGTTTTAAGACAATTCCATTGAAAAGTGTGGCTAACATCATCAAAATATCGAATATCGGGGGTACCGTTATTTGGGGGCTTTAGGATATCGTGGACCGATATAGCCCATTTTGGAACTGCAGACAAAAGACTGATCTGTGCAAAAATTTAGCTTCCCATTTTTATTCGTTCTGACTCTAGCGTGATTACAACAGACGGACTGACAGGGCTAAATCGTCTTAGCATTTTACGCTGATCAAGAATATATATACTTTGTTATGTCAAAAACTATTATTTCGATGAGTTACAAACGGAATGACGACCTTAATATACCCTCCATACTATGTATGGTGGAGGGTATTATAACGTTTTAAAAATGTTTACTTTATTAAATTTCCACCATTGTAATATTTTCCATGTTGTGAACATTAAACTTTTAAATAGTTGAGAAAGTGGACGCAAAATTGAATTTTTTTAAATGGAAAGTAAGTTGTTTAATAGTATAATACAATGTTAAATGCTTATAAACTCAAAAATAATAATAAAAAAATATTTACATTATTGTCTGAAATTTGTAAACATTTTTGCGTGGTCCCAATGCAGCTGATGTTACTGGATAATTTTTGCTGAGCAAATTTTTCAGTAAAATTTTGAAAACTCTCAGTAACTCAACTGTGAAAATTTCCGTTTATCATCGTTCCGCCTTTGTAAATCATCCACACAAAAAAGCTTATGCAACGGCAAAACGCTAAAAAAACTGTGAGCACAATACTCTCAATTTATCTAATTAAAAATGTTAATACCTTACTGTGGTGCCTTTTTTTTACATGGTCAACATTTAGTTCATATTTACATTTTAATTGAATTTTCCGGTTCTTCTAATATGTCGCAGGCATCCTTATATTGTTTTAATTTTAGAAAAAGTTCTGCTAAGTCCAAACTCATATTAGGGTGTATTTGAATGGCATGCTGGTAAAATGCTATAGCCTTTGTATATTGATGAGATTTTATATAAACACGTCCCAATTTATTAGCTAAATTCGAATCCTGTGGGTTCATCTCGTATGCCTTCTGGTAGGCGTTGACAGCCAAAACCGGTTCTTTTGGAAATAAACGATATTAAAATTTATTGAGAATATGTTTCCTTATTATTTACCTTGTATTGACATATATGCTTTTCCCAATATCAAATAGCTCTGAGGCTCTGGACATGACTCAACTAGTTGGTTAAAACATTTTGCAAAGGCTACGCGATCCTTCCGGTTGTGAAGATGAATATTTGCCAAGTTAGTTTTGGCCTTAAAAAATTATGCATATACATATGTTTATTATACATGTACATAGATTCGGTCAATCATTTGAATAAGAATATAAGCACCTGTATAAAATAAGATTGTCCAGGCTGTATCGCTGACAACAACTCAATAGCTTTGTTGACGTTGTCGTTTTGTAACATAAATTCAGCATGTGCAATTACTAAACGGCCCTCCTCTGTAGTATTGTTGAATTCCTCCATAGCAAATTGTAATAACCGCTCACTCTCATACACACCCTGCGTATCACCTATATCCTTATATGTTCCAATAAGTTCCAAATACAGTGTGACTCTATCTGCAACAGTAAAGTTTTTTTCCGGTCCTCTTGGTGGATCTTGCTCCCAAGCGAAGTTGATTCGTTGCCCAAGATATGTATTGCAGACATAAAGCTTTTTTGAGCTTCAGAGTATTGTTGTTGTTGTCTCTGTGCAATACCCATTAATAGATAATATTTCGGATCCTCACGCACAGCAAAATCATATGACAAAGCCATTTCCAGATACTGTAATGCTTTAACATACTGATGGTTGTATATTTGAACTTGCGCTAAAAGCAAGTACGCATCCGTAAAAGTGGAGTCAATTTCATTGACAATTCTTTGCAATAAGGAACTTGCCGAATTGATTTCACTGCACAAGAGATGTACCTTTGCACGTGCAAAATTTGCATTAATATGCGCCGGGCAATATTTAAGAAGGAGGTCCAATATTAAAATGCAATGTTTTAACGTTATATGCACTGTGTCTTGTATTAGGTGTAAGGATGGTTTAATATTCATTTGTAGCGGCGAGTGTCTTAAAAATTCTGCTGTTATTTGAAGTAGAAACTCCGGATCTAATTTCAAAAGATATTCCGGTCCAAACAATTCACCTTCCAAATCCCGTAAATGCTTCTCCATAGCTTTCGTTAAATATTGAATAGAATGGTCAGTTTGATTAGAATATTTTGCTTTTAGAAACAACAAGAATGGATGTTCTTCACCAGCAAACTTGTCACACAAATAGTCAATCTGTTGGAGAATTTGCTCCGAACGTCCATTTTCAAACATCTGACAAAGAGTTAAACCACACAAAGCGTAAAAATTGTTACTATCCGCTTTAGTGGCAGATCGATAGCAAATTCCAGCTTCATTTATGTTGCCAAGTAAAATCCTTTGATAGCCCAATTCCACGATGCAGTCCGCGAAAGTTGGGTTCGCTTGAATTATTTTGTCAATAAAACGAAGAGTAAGGGTTAGAATATCTGCATTTCGAGAGCATATACGAGCAACTAGTTTACAGTTTTCTAATAAGAGTTTAACATTTCCCACTTCTACTCTTTCTGTAGCCACCAAAAGTTGTTGAACCGTAGAAATACCTCCTTTTAAATTGCCATCTCGTGTTATGAGAGTGCAAGCCTTTATTCGGAGTGCAGCTACGTTGGTTGGCTCCAAATTAATTACACGCAGAGCCGTTTCGTAGGATTGATCCCAGTTGAGTGCAGCAAGTTGAGTTTCCATTTTTACTATTAATGGTATATTTAGCTGGGGATATCTAATTGAAAGCTTTATGAGAAAATTTATGGCATTTTCAAATATACCGCGCAATTGAAAACAACGAACCAATGCCAGAGTGGCGTCAATATTTTTCCCATGTGTAAGAATATTTTCTAATTTACGTATAATATTTCCATTTATCTCATTTTTTGTCAAATATGTATTAATCCATGTTTGCAATATTATTGAATATTCGTGATCATTATCAATTTGTAAACCTTTGTTAACGTAAATATCGGCATCACGAAAATTTTTAGCCAAAAAGAGGAATAAACTGGCATTGTAAAAAGCGTTAGTACCGGCTTTGTTGTAGGATTCATCTAATCGCTGTTGTAAGTTTTGAATGGCTTCGTTGTCAACTGCACTGCAACGCTTATGTGCATACAGTAAAGCCATAATAGCTGCAATTCCAAGTTCATCATCGCTCTTAAGTGGATTTAATTCTCGTATACCTTCTTGAATCCTGTTGCCTAACACCAATGCCATACCATTGTACAGTCGAAAAGTGAAATGATTCGGATATTTTGATAATCCATCTAAAGCCGTTTTCTGCATGGTATGGAAAAGTCCCGAACGGCCATAGTATAACAAGAGGCTCTCGAAATCTTGAATATCCATTATACTTACAAGCACACAAACCCCATATGTTTAAAAAATAGACTTTGTAATGAATGAAGCATATAACGTTTATTCTTTAATGTCCTTTAGATATTGTTGAGCATATTTGGATACGTAGGATTGAACGAATTCGCAATGTATTTCTAGTTGCAAGTCATTTTGGGAAACAAAATCCAAAGCTTCCTGCAAAGCATAGATGAGAATTATTAATAAAAGTTACAGAATTGGACGTAAACAATAAATGTTATAAGTGTGCAAACTAAATTTCTTCAGCAATCCTTCTGTAAAAGTCCTCATGATTATGATGGCATGACGACATTAATACTGGAAATTTGTTTATTCTTTTTTCTTATTAAGAACATTTTAATGTGTTAATAACCTCTATCATTAAAAAAGTAGCACTTTTGAAAATATGGTTCCAGAATTTGAAGAATACCGAATATAAGGAGAAACTGTTGTATGGGGGCTATAGGAATACATAGACCTGTATAGATATTTTTGTGGTACATAATAAGAACTTCAAAAACCAACTTTGAAACAATTCCGCTAAAAAACGTGGCTGAAATCATCAAAACCCGAATATAGCGTAACGTTGATCCCTGAGTGTCTCAAAGAATATCAGGTTTAGTTATCAAGTTATTACAATGGTACGGAAACCAATCCCAAGTCTTCCTCAAAATCCTCAAATTAAACTAAATTCTAATAATTTAATTTCTTATCATTCAGTAAGATTTTTCAAATCTGACAAATACGAAGCAAATGGAAATTTGATGAAAGTATACAATAAAAACATAATTGCGACTTTCAGATGGCACGCTTGCCACAGCGTTTCCTCCGAAACAGCCTAATGCAATCGAAGTCCTAAATAAATCGGCCGTCAAACCATTTGATGTTGATGGTCGATACACAATATTCAATGCAAGAAACGCCATCGCCAAGCCCTACAACATATATTCTGCACAATCTCACGGCAGCGGGTTCTACGATACCGGATTGACCCGAAACAACAAGATCCCAGTTTCGGCCAGCGGCTGCCAACCCAGCACTCCACCGCAGTCTCCAAAACAGCAACCAACACCGCAGCACCTAACGCATATGTTGCTGTTCCAACTCCGGATTGTGCATTATTCTTGCAATTCAATTGCAACGGACTTCAAGGCAAAATAAATGAGATAGTGGAGTTTATGAGTCAGTGGAATTTTAAGATCGCAGCGGTGCAGGAAACCAAGCTGAAAATTGCAGCCTACAACGTTGTTATGGTTACAACGTACTAAGAAAGGATCGCACCAGAAGTGGAGGTGGGGGGTTAGCGTTCCTGTCACACTATTCTGTTCAGTACAGACCCATCTCGTTTAAGCTAGTCTCTAGTGACCCATACATGGAATTTTACGAGGATGCCCCACAGTTCGCCAGACATAACCATAGTGTCACCCGATCTGATAAATGACGTGACTTGGCAACCCGTCACTTCTCTTGGCTCAGACCATCTCCCGATAATCGTCTCCATAAGCAGGTAGCCCGATTTCATAACCTCTGAACGCCGCACTTTCCTTAACCATGGGAAAGCTCACTGGCCAGAGTTCAGAGAATTCACCAACCGTCGCTTCAGAGAACTGCCCAACCCTTCTAATGTTCGGGTAGCAGAAAGGATTTTCCGAAACATCATCAAATCTGCAGCAGCTCGCTATATACCTACTGGTCGAATACCCGAGATAAGACCAAACTTCCCAGCAGAGGCAGCGGGATTAGCAAACGAGCGTAGTGATATCCGTCGTACCAACCCTACTGATCCTAGAATCAGTGATTTGACAGTGGAAGTCAACCGGTTGGTACAGGAGCATAAGAGGAAAAAGTGGCTAGACCATCTGAAGTGTTGCAACATTGGAACCGATATGAGTAATCTGTGGGTAACGGTTATGTCGCTCTCGAATCCTGGAAAAAAGGATGATAGGACCTCAGTCACTTTAACGACGTAACGGTGACTGATCCGAAGAGGTGCCCGGAATATTTTAGCGATAGGGCGAAGCGAAGAGTACTACGTCGTATCATATCTCTTCCCGCCGAGGAGGAACCACCACAGTTTACGATGGGTGATGTTGCAAATGTCATCCGTAACGCTAAGTAATGTTTAAGCAGCTGAATACGTCGGGAGTCGAGTACTTAACGAAAGTTCTCAATTTGTCGCTAGCCACCCACATAGTGCCCGAAATCTGGAAAATGGGCCGGGTGGTCCCGCTACTGAAACCAGGCAAGGATGCCAGTAAAGGCGAATCGTACAGGCCGGTTTCGCTTTTGTCGCCAGTAGCTAAGACTCTTGAGGCTTTACTCCTCCCCAGCATTAGAGGATTTCGTCCACAACATAGTACCACAACAGCATTACACGCCATTTCCACACATATTAGTAGAGGACTGAACCAGAACAGGCCGTGTGACAGAACAGTGTTGGTAGCCCTTGACCTATCAAAGGCATTTGATACTGTCAATCATGCCACACTGTTTGAGGACGTGCAGAGAACTACCCTCCGGCCAAGTTTGAAACGATGGATAATCAACTATATGTGTGGATGCCAGTCGTATGTGGAATTCCGGAACAAGAACTCCAAAGCCCGTAGAGTAAAACAGGGAGTTCCCCAAGGTGGGGTGATATCTCCGGAACTGTTTCACCTCTACCTTACCGGAATTCCTCGCCCTCCAGACGGTATTGAGATCGTAACGTATGCGGATGATTGTACGATCATGGTGTCGGGTCCAGTGGTCGATGACATATGCGAAAGGCTGAACCCCTATCTCGCGGAACTTGCCTCATACTTCCACGTGAGGAATATGAAAATATCCGCCACGAAATCAACGGCCTCACTCTTTACGACATGGTTGCGGAGATGAGAACACAGCTGAATGGTCAGGTCGAGGGGAATCTAATACGACCACGAACTACCCCAAGATTCTTGGGGTCACGTTTCGACAGCATGTTCAAGTCGTCCGCGCAAGCTACAGCTATCTGCGACAAGATGAAAAGTAGGAACAAGGTCCTCAAGGCGCTAGCCGACAGCTCTTGGGGTGCGGACAAAGAAAACCCGCGAATAATAGTGCTACGCAGTGGAAGCATATCCAGACCTGCCAGAACGCTGCCCTGAGAACTGAGACAGGGTGCATTCTCATGTCACCAGTG